CAACTCACAGGTTTATCATTACTTTGAGAATAAAGATTATTAATTTAACCCTTTTAGAAGGGAAGATATGGTCATTTGTTCTGGGAATGTCATTTTCGAGCCTGAGACCTGAAAAACAGGCTCAGGGCTTAAGAGGTTAAAGGGGACCTATCATGCAAAATGCACTTTTGTACGTCTTTTATACATGAATATGTGTCCCCGGTGTTCCAGGGAACTCACCAAGTGTCAGAAAACACAACCCTCTCTCTTTTCCTCCATACCCAAATCTCTAAAAACGGGGCTGCAATAGAGCTGATACAGATTTGAAATTGTTCTGACGTCAGAAACAGGGAGCTCCGCCTATATGGGCAACTCTCCACCTATCAGGGGAATGGGGGGTTGGGCCACGGCCATTGCTGCTCGAAAGCGCTGGAGACGCTGTAGTACATATGCCAGGCCTGTAAGTGGCGCTGTAGTCTGTCACAAAAGCAGCGAAGAAAACTTCTCACAGAATCAGCCCTTGCAAAAACAGGGCTGGAAAAGAGCAAATAGAGCGAAATGAGGCATGGCTAAAATGCATGATCTGTTTGGTATTTTGAAAAAAAAACTTCACAGACATGTTTTATATAGGTATGGCCCTACAATATATTATTCAAATATAGCATGATAGGTCCACTTTAAGTAAAAGTATAACTGTGTAGGAATACAAAAGTATACGCATCAAAATATGCTTAAAGAGCTTACCAAATGAAGGACAATACTGTTCTTATTACGATAATATGTACTATTATTAATGGGAAATCATTTGTCATTCATGACAATATGCCCGCTGTATTTATAAATCGTGATTTATTACAACTTTCCATGCTCGCTTCCGATGTTACACGACCGCTCCGAACAAAACAGCTTTTGCCGGTTAGTGACGTCACGCACGTCACAGTACGTCACGGTACGTCACGAGTAGAACACTTGTTGAATAATACACTACCTATATGGCTGATGTCGGACTCTGGAGACAGAATCAAGTGACAGTGAGTCGTCAATAGACTCGGTGCACTTTCAAGAAGAGGAGGATTTTATTGAAGAGGATGCCGGTGTGGTGGAATCAGATCATGCGGGCGAGTCTAACGTGGTGGAACCATACCAGTTTGAGCCACAGTATTCAAGTAGCGGTAGAGATACAGACGGGAGCGAACATGGGGATGATGATCCTGGATTTGGCGGAGATCCGGTACGGCAACAGAACACAGACTGGTATACATTTGACTTTAATTCATAGAGATTCTCAATAAATAGTAAATCAATAATAATACATCGTAATGTAGCAGGCACACTTGGCTCAGGCAACAGAACAGAGACTGGTATATACATTTGACTATAATTCATAGAGATTCTCAATAAATAGTAAATAAATAATAATAACTCTGCTGAGAAAACCAGCTTAGATAAATGTAGCTGGTCAGGCTGTTGTAAATTGACCAGCCAGTAGATATTAGGCTGGAATGGTTGGCTGGAGAGGGGTTTTGGACACTTTAGCTGGCCAGGATGGCTGGTTTATCCATCTATCACCAGCTTATGTTTAATAATAGTATCAAATATACCATGCTGGGAGCTTACCAGGATTCCAGGTGACCAGCATACATTAAATACTGGTATGATTATTTAAACAAGAGAACATAAATATATTACAAAGATTCATTGTGTCATGTATTCTGGTATCTACCAAAATAAAGACATTGTATAGTGTTCATTACAGTATTTTAATTTAATAAATAGCTAGTTAATATAATAAAATACACAGTAACAATACAATAATTATACAAATAACAACCAACCTGCAAATCAACCTGTACATCAAAATAAATATATTATCTAAAACCATAAAAATCATTTGATTTAAAATAAAAGTAATAAATAGAATTCAATATTTAAATGGTAACAAAAACAGTAACACTATGTACAGTATGATGAGAAAAAGGCAACAAAGAAAGTGTTTTTGGTTTTTCCTTGTTCATGTCCATAATGTTTCCCGTTGTGTAGCGTCCAGCCTTTCCCAATCTGGCCTGCATTTCTGTCTGTTGAAGCCACTTCTTGAAGCAAACTGAAAAGAAATGTACAGATATAAGTACACTGTAAAAAGAAAGCTTGACATTTACGTTAACATTTGGGCTGCTGTGGTTGCCAGAACTTGATCGTTAAAGTATAACACATTACAAATTACAGTTGGTTGGCATAGACGTTACAGTCAACAATTGCTTATGGTGAACTACAATGGCAAAAACAAATAGAGCTAGTGTACACGGTGCAGCTGTATTATCTGGGAAATAGAAGAATCGGATCAGGATTTGGTATTGGCAGACAATCAATATCAAATGAATCGGATCATTATTAGCATCATCGACTTGCAGCCTAAATACAAAGATAGCTCCACTCCTCTTCTAACACTGCTTACCTCTAATGAGCCTTGGTAGAACTAGTGTCCGAGTCATAGGGTCCAGAACTGACTGAAGACATGTGGAACAGAGTCATAGGGTCCAGAACTGACTGAAGACATGTGGAACAGAGGACAGGCATGGTTCCATGTACAGGAAACTGGAACTTTGAACAGGTGTTTTCATCTTTTCTGCCTGAAGATTCACAAGTTCTTGATCAGGTGTTTGATGTGGGCTGGCATGATCCTTTCTGCAGCGATAAATAAAGAAAACAAAGAAAACATTTTTTATAATAGTAATGATGGTAACAACAATAATATTAGTATAACTATTTATATAGCACTTACACAATTGCAAAGTGATTCTCACAACAAAAATAAAGAACAAAACAATATCAACGATAAAAAAAACAATGTTAAGAGACAAAGACATTTTTTTTCAGTCATTACAATGCACTGTTGGAAATGACCTTCCAAAGGCTAAATTCAAACTCAATACCATAAATAACTGGGTACCAAAGTGCTTTGCCTGATAGAACACGTTCCACACGGAGCAGCAACCATCCAGCTGGGCCTTTTGCTGCATATCATCTCCTCCCTCTCTCTCTCTGGTGTTAGGCTCCAGTAGATCTCTACTATCCAATAAAACTGAAATTCCCCAAAAAATCATATTAAAAAAAGTTAAAAACAATTACTTGCTTTTGGCATTGAAATGGATTAGAATCTCACCATTTTCCTGGATGTCAGGAAGGCCAGGAAGTCATTCCCTTCAAGTCCGCAAACCAGTCATAGGAGTTAAAATGCAAAGCCTGAACGATGACAAGAGCGAGAGACTTACATTTTACAATGTGCAGTGTGTACATACTACATAGGCCCTGTACGACATGCAGAGAACAGATCAAATCCCCTGACAGACTCACACACTTTGGTGATGTCCTCATCTGATAATGTTTCATTTTTTAGCAGCAAACTAACATTACTCAAAGTATATGTCGGACCCAACTCATTTACAGTATGTTTTGCATCTCCTCAACAATGGTCTGTATAGTTGAGTAGAAAAAAACTGTCCCTACAATTTCAGGTAGATTAACACACATTTGTGAGAAAAGTTAACAATGAAGCACAAAACCACTCTTTGTATTCTATTAAATGTCATGCTTTTCCGGTTATTATCCGTCCCCTTGTGTGTTATGAAGGTTTTTATGCATGTAAACGGTCTGCAGAGTCAAAAACCCTCAAAGTACACCCTGTAGGGAGTAAAACTCTAACACAGAAAAGACCTCCCCAAAACGCCTCGTTGGAGATTTCTCATGTTCTTCCTGGGCATCGTGACGTCTGGATACCCAGTAGCCACGCCCAGAGTTATGACGCGATACGGTCATGCGGTACCCGGAACCAAATGGACCAATCCGTGGAGCCGTTACGTTACGTCCGCGGAGCCGTTACGTTAAGCCCCCGCTGATTGGTCCAAATTGACCAATCCACGGACTTCCTCACACTGTGACGAAGATGGCTTCGTCACTGTGGACTGACGGCTTCGGGCTTCGGACATATTGCACATGTGTTTTACTTTGAAAAGTGTTCCCTTTCCCCATGTCTGTTGCTCCTGATTATGTTCACCTGGTGCCCTGTGTTGTCTCCTCCCCCCTCACCTGTGTCTTGTTGGGTTAATTAGTGTGGGTATTTACAGTAGGCTCTGTGTTTCCTGTTTTGTTTGGTGTGTGAGATCCTTGTGGCTGGTGACTGTGCTCACGTGAACAGCGAGATTGAGGCTGTGTCATGTGCCCGTGAGTAATAAATGCCCACACCGGGTTGTATTTTGTACGTTCTGCCTCTGCCTCCTTACTTGGTCGGGCCGCTCAACGGTCAGCTTCACTTTTGGTGTCAGAAGTGGGATTGACCAAGTGAGGAGGTGAAAACGATGGAGGAACTGAGGGAGATGATGAAGTCATTCCTGCAGTATGAGACACCCAGATTCAAGCGGGAGGAGTGCCGTTTGAGGAACATGGAGCAGCCGTTTTCACGGATACAGGAACAGGTTTCCCTGATAGAAGAGAAAGAGGAGCAGCTCAGGTTGCAGAGGGAGGAAGAGGAGAAGCTGAGAAAGGAAGAGGAAGATACTTTTCTAGCGGAGGAGCAGCGGGTGAAAATGGCCGAGGGGATCCGCCGGGAGAGAGAGCGACAGCTGGAGGAGATAAGGGCTCCGGCTCATGCAGAGGCCCTGTCAGCCGCTCAGACTCAGGTGGAGAAGCAGGTGATGAAGACGCTGCAGGCGGAGAAGGCGGCGTACGTGGAGAACCTGACGGAGGCCATCGCGAAGGAGCGGGAGAAAGAGTTGAGGAAGAAAGGGAAGCTTCCTTCCGACTTCACGCCCCCCCCTGAGGAAACCATGCGGCACAAGGGGAAGCAGAAACAGCGGGCGGAGTGGAGACACCTGGAGGAGAGCAAAATGGCCAAGCTCAATAAGTGTCGCAGGAATAAGGTACTGTTCTCTTTCGGGAGAGGAAGGAGGAAATGTGACTAAGATGGCTTCGTCACTGTGGACTGACGGCTTAGTGCTTTGTATATTGCACATGTGTTTTACTTTGAAAAGTGTTCCCTTTCCCCATGTCTGTTGCTCCTGATTATGTTCACCTGGTGCCCTGTGTTGTCTCCTCCCCCCTCACCTGTGTCTTGTTGGGTTAATTAGTGTGGGTATTTAGGCTCTGTGTTTCCTGTTTTGTTTGGTGTGTGAGATCCTTGTGGCTGGTGACTGTGCTCACGTGAACAGCGAGATTGAGGCTGTGTCATGTGCCCGTGAGTAATAAATGCCCACACCGGGTTGTATTTTGGACGTTCTGCCTCTGCCTCCTTACTTGGTCGGGCCGCTCATAATATTTGGCCCTTCAATGCATTCAAACGGGACTGAGCTCAGCTGTGTTCTACTCATGACGTCACCACCGGAAATGGCCGAAGTTGATGTTTCCGGCGCGACGAACGATTGTTACTAACTGACAACTTTTGTATGCTGTTATAATCGTGATTTATTAAAAATACATCAATAATACAAAAATCATGTGGCACATTTCACAATACAAATGCAACCTCTATCATATACCAAGCCCACTAACAGGTGCTAATAGCATTTCGTAAGCTCTTTAAAGTACCAAAAGTAAAAGTACTCATTCTGCAGATTGGTCAGTTTCAGAATAATATATATGATATGTTTTATAATTATTGATCATTAAAGTGTTATCAAAGCTGGTAAAGGTGCAGCTAGTTTTAATGACTTTGCAGGGTAGCTTGTGAATTTACTCCAGGTGGAACTAAAGTCTGATTTAAGAGTTGATTATATTTCACATCATTAATCCAAATCTGCAAAATAATTAATGGTATTCAGTAGGGATGCTCCGATCGCCGATCCGATCGAGTGGGCGGGGCCTATGGGGATCTTCCATTTAAAGTGGACCTATCATGCTATATTTAAATGATATATTGTAGGGCCATACCTATATAAGGTATATTTATACGTTTCTGTTTTCAAAATACCAAACAGATCATGATTTTAAGTAGGGATGTCCCGATCAGCTTTTTTTGCTCCCGATCCGATTCCGATCATTTGATTTTGACAATCTGCCGATACCGATTTTTCCCGATCCGATCTTTATGCAATGCATTAAGAGAAAAAAAAGGTAACAGATAACGGCTGGTCATCCAACGCGATGAATTCAGCTATCTTGGCTGTTATTTTTTTGGCCTTTTCACTGTTCTGGGGCAGTTTCTCTTTCCTTTTAAAAGTCTCTGAAAGTGTCGGTTGTTTCAGTGCCGTTACCTGAGTGGCCGCTGTGTACTCGTCGTGTTGTTGTTGGTGGTGTTTGTATTAGATTGGTCGTGTTGAACGTAGCTCTGTTCTTTCCACCACGCGGAACCTCCGCCTTGCAAACATTGCATCTGGCTGTTACACTGCCTTCGCTTTCAATTTTATAATACTTCCAAACTCCTGACATTTTCTCTGTCCCGACTCCCGAGGCACCAGCTGAACGTAGCCTCTTGTTAGCTTACTGCTACTATTAGACACTGCGCCCTGCCCACTCTGTTGCCAGAATTGAGAGAAATAAGCAACCAGGTCTATGAAAACAAGCCCAAAAGAAGCAACACATACATGATGTTGTGTAATTTTAAACCAAAACTAAGGCCTCAGGATGACTTTAAGACGTGAACATGGTCATTTTTGTTTTCTAACATTAAATAAAATAATAAAAATATTTGATAAAAAAAAAAAAAAAAATTAAAAGAAATTCCCAATCCCCGATTTTTTTCTAAAAAAACGTAAATCTACGTGCTGTTACTTACTGCAGGTATGTTATGTGTTCTAGCAGCCCAGAATCCACACTATACATTAAAAAAAGCAATGGTAATTATGTTTCCAATTTGTTTAGTCTTTCCCTTATAAAACATAACAAAAAGAACCGATAAAAATACTGTTCAAGTACCGGTTGTTAAACAGTATATGTAAGAGTAGCAGTACTGTTCAAATCTTAACGACACCCATCCCTACTGTTGCTGTAGGCTGGCATTCATGCTAAACTACAAGGCTCTGCAGAGCAGGTGGGCTAAGTGAGGAGGAAGTAACACATGTCAGGGGCGGCAGCAGAATAAGAGGCGGGCATATGCTCTCTCTTTGTGGCCTGGCCTTGCCGCTTCACCGGACAACATGGCAGAGATACACATCTGACCCAAAATAATATCCTCACAGATGGAAAAACCCAACGTCGCCGTGGCTCAAACTCCTGGCATTTACAATCACGCACTCGTCTTTTCCATCTGGGTTTGCTTGAGGCTATTTTAAGAAGTGTTCTTGTGACTGAGGCGCAGAAAAGCAGCGAGGTAGAAGAAAACACTTGGCTGTTGGAGATCCCAGGAGGAAGGCCAAATTTATCCCCGACGTCTCTGAGTATTGACAAGTTGCATCTCGGCTTACACCCTGAAAAGTGTGTTTCTCTGTTACACAGAGAGGCTTTCAGTGCTCTCCGTCTACACTGCTGCCGATCGGCAAAATAAATCCCACTCAACTGTTAATTCTCAAGAATGATGTTTATTAATGACTTGTGTTTCAAATGTCTCGATTTATTTGCCCTCTTTCTAAGAACGAACAACATGTGCTTGACCTACATTCTGCGGCAGTGGAGTTTAATAATAGCAGATATTGAGTAAGTATTGATTTTGCTATTTTTACGTCACGACAAGTCTGTAAGACTGTTTTATATCAAGGTTTTTCAGGTTTCTAGGTTACAAAGGAACATTGTCTTATTGGTATTTGAGTGTGAAGCAAGCAACACTGAAGTAAAGTCATTGGTACAGTATGCTGATAAACAATGGTTATAAACAGTTTATTTAACATAGACGTTTTTTTACCTCAAACTTACCAAAAGTTACTATCCACAAATAGATAAACAAAGGTATTGGCCATAATTTAAAGAACCTCTTCTGATGCTTTCCGGAAAATGTTATCTCATGTGATTATTGGATAAATTACTGTCCCAGTGTGTTTTTTTTCAGAACCTGGCTGTGATGAGTTCCGAATGTTTGTTGTGTGACTTAGAAACAGGACTAAGATGGTGTCTGACAACATTTTTCTTACTTTTTAGGACTATTCCAATCTTTACCTTTCACAAAATCAAGGATTTGTTGTGTCTAACCAAACCTCTTGATACCAAATAGTTTAAGTAGCCTCAAATTAACGAACAATTAACCATAGAGTTGGCAAATAGAAAAACACTCAATGATTCAATTCAAGATTCAAGGCTTTATTGTCATGTGCACATTAGCTACAGTGTATATATGGCAATGAAAAACTTAAGTCACACGCTCCTCCAACAGTGCAACATGAATATATATAGGACATAAAACAAATAAAACTAGTAAAACACATGAAAGATCATAGAAAATGTTTGTAGTGCTCATTATTGTTTGACACGTAGATTTGAAAATGGATTCAGATTATTTTCTTATGCAACAGTAACAATACAATAATACAGTAAAGTTCCATTTCATGTGAAAGTCCTGCATTTAGAGTTTTATAAATGTGAAACTTAACATGCATTTGTATGTTTTTGGAACTCTCAAGAATAATAAAATGTCCCTGGTTTTGATTTAGTTAAAGATTACATGCTCTATTCAAACAAAACATTGATTATGTTTAAATGACTAAATGGTAGACAGGCAAAAGCAATCTGACCCAGGGTTACTGCAGTGACTAATTATGCGGTAGTGTGTGATATAGGTTTTTGTGCATGTAAACCCCCCCCCCCCCAACTGAAACGCCTCCATTGGACTCCTTTGTTTAATTCTGTAACATAGTGACATCAATACTTGCGCTTCTATTGGCTAGCGCTCCGACTCGTACGTGATAGGCTAAGCTAACCAATCAGAGCAGACTTGGCTCTGGTTTCAGACAGAGGGTGAAAAGAGGTGCTGCAGCACAGGCAGTATGAGAAAAATAAAGAGCTTTTGGAACATTAAAGCATGGAGACATGTCCCAGTAGAGGCACAAAATACAAATATGAACCTGAAAATAGCATAATAGTTATCCTAATGGGATAACAACAATTGTCGAAATGTCAACAATTGTCAAAATGTCACAGCATGGATTGAACATAAACCATAACACAAGATATGAAGACAGTATTTGTACAAAAAACAAGACACTTGCCCTCAAAAAACAGCAAAACATTAAACCGATAGTACATCCAGCCATTATCAACCATACTAATGCAGTTAGAGTCATTCAAGATGATATTAGGCTTCCTTTCCAACAAAATGTTGTATTCCCTTCCTCCATGGTGCGTCATGTAGTCATATCGAGGCTGGGCAGTGTGGTGACATTCAGCTCTTCACGCCTCTTTTTAACCAGCTATAAGTAGCTGCAGCCTGGGCCTGCGGGCCCCTGGGCCTCCTGAGGCTGTCTGGTGTCTCCGCCCCGAAGCCGGCAGCGTCTCGGTCAGGGCCCGGAGAGCCTGCACACAACCAGTCATGCCATTAAGCATCTGTGCACTCTGGGAACCCAAGCCAAGCAGAGAACCTGTTTTCTGATGGAAGATGTAAACAACTCTACATCGTGCTCAGGACTCTAGTCCATTCTCTGCCTTTCCTGCCATATGTCGCCCAAAAAGAGGAAAGCCCATTTAAATATACCGAAAATTAGGTTCTGCTTCATCTCTATCGAGCGTGTTTGTGTCCTTGTACACTATCTACCACCTGCAGCTGAGCTTAGCATGGCTCTATCGTCACGTCCGAGTGTACACAGAGCTGACTTACAATCTGTTTCTGATAAACCTCCGTCTTTGTCAAACACGCATCCTGTTGGCAGACACATGCCGGTGTTCTCCTATAACACACACAACTGCACACCAGAGCGGGAAACATGTTTGCAATCCAAATCCATTAGCTAAACTGTCACAGTGATCGGAGGCCTCTGCGTTTCTAGGCGGACAGTTACTGGGGCTGATGTATGTGGAGAAAAGTTTCAGGGAATATATATTTATATATATAGAACTGTAGTGCAGAGGCCCTGTTGCTCACAGAGTCCTTCAACAAGACATCACAAACTGCTACGTTTAGTTATAAAACCCCAAATGACAAGTATGTTCAACAATTTCCTCAAGCTTTTTATACTTTTAGTCGAGGACTGTTTGTTTCCGTTTGGACTTAACCCCCTTTTACAGTGATGGTGAATATCAACCCATATGTGCCAAACGTTGTGGTGGAATGTCAAGTATACATTTACTCAAGTACGGTATTAACTACAATTTCGAGGTTCTTGTACTTTCCTTGAGTATTTTTAATTCATGCTACTTTATATTTTAACTCCACTGCATTTCACAATCCAATATTGCAGTTTTATTCCTATACATTTATCTGACAGCTTTAGTTACTAGTGACTTTACACATGCAGATTATTACCTTAAACTAAATATAAATCGACTAATACATAAACATTTTCATATAATTATAAATGACAAAGCTCCACGTATACCAGACGTGATGAACACATCAATGCATAAGTAATCATACTGCCATAATTTAATAAATATGATGGGCCATATTGCTTAACCCCACCCCGCACTCCCCGGGTGCTGTACAATAGCTGCCCACTGCTCCTAGTACTAGACTCCTGGTACTAGGATGGGTTAAATGCAGAGAACACATTTCACTGTGTGTGCTGTGTGCTCTGCATGTGTGACGGGTTTCATCCCTCCGATTCTATTTATTCTATCTTAACAAGTACTTTTTACGTTTGGTACTTAAATACTACAGTATTTTGATGTCAGTAAGATTTCATAATTTAAAAAAAAAGTGGTATAGTTACTTTAACTTAAAGTGGACCTATCATGCTATATTTGAATAATATAGTGTAGGCATATATATATATATAAGGCATATTTATACTTTTTTTTTTTCAAAATACCAAGCAGATCATGCATTTTAGCCATGCCTCATTTCGCTCAATTTGAAAAATGTTAGCTCTGTTTTTGCGAGGGCTGATTCTGTGAGCAACAGCACCATCTAGAGGCCTGGCATATGTACTACAGCGTCTCCAGCGCTTTCGAACGGCAATGGCCGTGGCTGTCTCCTCCTGATTTTTGGAGTTGGCCCAATAGCTGTAGCGCCACCGTCCTGACGTCAGGACAGTGTTCAAATCTGGATCAGTTTTTATCAGATCCGTTGCAGCCCCTTTTTTAGAGATTTGGGTATGGAGGAAAATAGAGAGGGTTGTGTTTTCTGACACTTGGTGAGTTCCCTGGAACACCGGGGACACATATTCATGTATAAAAGACGTACAAAAGTGCATTTTGCATGATAGGTCCCCTTTAAGTAAAAGGACCTGACTACTTCTTCCATCACTGGTGAAAATACTATATGTCAACAGATAAAGAAATGTCCGAACATTTATCCGGATTTGCACCGTCTCACAACTTTTTCAGACAACATAACACATCTTGGTTTTGCTAGTAGTTAAAATGTTATCATACTATATTTAGCTTTTGGGCACACTGGACTACTGTTTTTAACTTTTATAATTTGATGTCTGTTTATTAAACAGATATTTAAATTCTGATTGCTCTTCACTTTCCAGTGCAATGATCAACACTTTTTTTTGTTGCCAGTGCAGTCCTTGTGTTTCCTCCTGTCTGCTGTGGCAGGCTGAGGAGTCTGATTAAGGACGTTCTCTGCCGGCCAGCGTCACTTGTTAGCACCCTACCCGAGACTTAAACACACATGCTGCGGCTGAGAAGTGTATCCTCACACCTGTACAAACATCTCCTGTCATGAGCAGTGTGTCAGCGCCCTCTAAAGGCCGCCCACAGGGATAACCTGACACCAACAGCCTGATTTGATTCACTATCCAAAGCTTTAGCCCCTTTGGCTAAAATAGGGAAATATGGAAGAAGAAAAAAACATGCATTTGTGAGGTATCCACAATTTTCCATGCTCTACATGCAGGGCACCCACCTGCACAGGCCTTGTTTGGCTTCGGTTCTACTAGGGCAGCCTTGCCAACTAGTCCTATAATCCACAGGGTGAATAAAAATGGATTTGGCTGGAACAGACGCTCAGTAAGCCGCCCTAAACCAACAGGCAGGATCGTCCACAACACAGATTCTCTCCTGTACATCCTCATCTTTTACAGGTCATACATTTCTCTGCTGTAACGCCAACCTACACACATTTTTACACCAAAACGTTTAATCTGAAATGAGATTCAGCATGAAAATAAGGGAAACAAAGCAGCCTAGCCAGCATTTTTCACTTGTCCAAATAAGCATTTAAATCCCATTGATTATAATTAGATATGGGACAATATCAAATGTTTTCCAAAGTCATAATAAAATACAAAACACTCCCAACAAGTTTAATTCAATTTGTTCTCCTTTTTTTTTTTGTATATATAGGGGGACCTCATTATCTGTGATGCAATTAAGGATATTTAGTTTCTTAAGATTTAGGGTACAGTGATCCTGTTTTAATTCCATTTTAAGGGTTTGAGGCACATTTTTATCGTTATGACATCATACATGGCAATTGTATTGATCAGGAAAATCGTTACATTGTTCATATGATTCCATGACTAATGATAGCCCATTGACAGCAGAGATTGAGTTAGGTGATCAGTCTAATGGTAGACAGAGAAACCTCTGAACATTCTTCTTCATGACTGAACGCTTGACACTCTTCATAATGATTTCGTTTTTCCACCAGTAAAGCACCATCACTGCACGTGTTAGTGGATGACTGTCAGTGTTTCCTGGCACGCCGTCCTCTCCTCCTCCGTCTCCAGAGGCCTCGGACAACAGACGGGTCACAGCGAAGCCACATTTTAAATCCGGTGTGCAGATGGACACCAGTAGTTGTTCTAAATCCTGAGCACCTTGGCACCGGGCAGCACAGAGAGGGCAGAGCGGACCTACACTGATACGCCTTCATGTCAGGATTGTGATTCTTTACAGTGAACCACATGTTGGAACATTTTGACCTGTGATCAGAGCTGCCGCACTGTGTACGGTTAAAAGAATGTTCCCTTGTTATATTTGAACTATTATTTATGATTTGTGGTTTTATGCTCAAATGCTCCATTTACAATTAAAATAAGAATTTTTGAAATGGGATGGATTTTTTGATAATTCCAGTATTTTATTGGCTGAAATTATTCCAATGTGCTTCAGGTGTCTACATTTTAAAATCTGTAATATGATTATTTAAGCTTTCCTGGTTGAAATTGTATGTAATATGATTAAATTCTAGTTTGCTTTATTTTATTAAATTAATAAGTAAACATTTATTATTTACCAACAGAAATAAAAGTAGAGGGATTTGTGCTGTCATCAAATACTTAACCTGGTACTTGTGGAACCGCATTTTTTTTTTCCACCTTAATTAACAACACTAACTTAAAATGTGCTTAATTGTGTCTCAAAAGAAAACGTTTTAAGACTGGTTGAGCACAAAATATCAACCAAGAGCAGTTCTTTAAAAATGATCGGTAAATTACCGGCTCTGAGATTGTTCTGGTCTAACCATCACGCACAATGTGTTGGTGCTTGCCAATAGAAGTGTGAGTGTTACATAGTGATGTCACTTTGTCACAGAAGTAAACAAAGGAAACCAATGGAGGCGGTTCAGGCAGGGGGGGGGGAGTGTGTGTGAGAGAAACTCCCTCTGCAGGGAACTTTGACCTTGCAGACCACGCACACACACAAACCCTAGAACACACTACAGGAAAGGCAAAACCCCAAAAAGCCTAATAGGGCCCCTTCAATGTAATACTTTAGAGTTTTGGGAAAAACGACAACTTAAATGTATCTCTTCGACTCTAGAGCTTAGAAATGTAGCTAAAAAGGGCATTTTCTTTTTATATATTTAGACTAAACAATACATTGAGTCATTGCTTTAGTTTTAATGATCATACCTTGATCATGATTTCCCCCCACACAGTCCTTCCTCTCCTCTTACTCTCATTTCCTCGTTTCTCCATCAGTTTCTGCTGCTGTTGATTCACCAGCTCGTGCCAACAAAGTGAGTTTCCTAATGCTCACAGATCACCCAATCGTCCGCCTGACCTTGCATTACACATAAGGGTGTGGGTCACCGGTCGTGTGCTCACCTAATTCCACAAATTGTGTCCGGAGCTCCTGTTCTGTCGAGCCCAGCATTTTGGTTTCCATTTATAGCGCAGAGCTTTTCAGGATTCTTATCATTATTTTCCCTAATAGGTTGAAGGAGGGAAGGTGAGCTTCAGCCCGGCTGAATTCCTAATGACAGCACCTCCACACTGTTGTAATGGGTAACGAACCACAATCATATTAAGCCGTCTAGAGTGGACTGAGTGTCACGCAGGCCAGTATTTCTTAGTGCCTTCATGTTTGAGGGTGGGAACGCTATGCTGACGAGGCTGAACAACTGATTTAAAGCTGGTCGTGCAGCATGGCCTGGCCGGCTGAGGGAGATACTGCATGCTTGGTACAGCATATGAAATGGCATCATTGAGACTGAGAGACTTCTTTTTGAGATGTATTTGTGTTACAGTAAATCAAGCAGCAGAAACACAATACAAAGGGAAAAAGAGCTAATTGTCCAGGTGAGACTTTAAAGAGGACATATTCTGCTCATTTTCTGAGGTTCTCACTTCAGATTTGCAGTCATATTCTTAAAATAATAAAAGAAACGGTATACATTTCCAAGATTGACTATGAAGTATAATTGTTGTACTTGCCAACAAGCATTACTACAGTATGCAACACTGCTGTGATGTGAAGGGATACAGGGACATGCTGTTTTGGAAGTCAAAGACCAATAGTGCAAAGCTGAAACAAACCCTGTTCACTAAATATTCACAATAGTTGATTTAATGTACAAAACTCATGTCAACTTAAATCTGATTGCATACATTTCTACAAGCGTGTGACTGCCCAAAAGTGTATTATTTTCTTCTAAAGCACGTAAAATATACACCATCTTAACTTTGTAAGTAAATCCCAAGTTCCTCCATTATGTACATAAGTAACAAAAGTACAGGAAGCGCAAGATTGAAAACATTTCATTGAATGTAATATTTAAATGTCAAATAAATAAATAAACAACCCAAACATAAAGTTATTCTTTATTTTGTTTTCAACTTACTCCAGGGTTAAGAACATTGTGGTTACACTGCACTTTTTCTTTGCTAGTAACAGCAGGAGTGGCAACTTCTTTAATATGAACTGTCCACTGTGTTGTCCCATTTGTCTATTTTTACAGTCTAACATCTGGTTCAACACAGTCTGGGACATTATGTGCGCCTCCAGAGACACTGTGGCTTTAAGATGCTTCCATAACTAAAATGATGACACACTTGTTTCAGTGATGTGGTCTCATTCTCATTATGATCATCAGGAGGAGGATTTATGTGCCTGATGTGCAGGCTTGAGGAGTAACATTACATGTAACAAAATGTATACTTACACATTGTATACACATTTTTATCATGATTATATTGTTTTTAAAGGTAACTAGTCATTGTAACAGATTACATTTTAAAAGTAACCCTGCACTCATGCTGATGTGTCGAATTAACTTTCCAAATTCTGAATATCCAAAATATCTTTAGGCCTTTGTCTCCCCCTTGTGGATACATTGTGTAATCACAGTTTGTTACGTCGGATCGAAGAGAATATCAACACTAAATAATGCCATACAAATCATTAAGTGTGTCACATAGGATACTTGAGAAACATATTTTGCCCTCAACCTGAGTATGTTTGCTTATTGATGGTGCAGAAGGAAGATCAAATGCTCTGCTTGTGCCTTGTAAACCCCTGGTTGCAGTATCAAGCAGAGCCTAGTTATGTGGCTCCTATTCTTTTTCAAAAAGCCACTCAGCACTTGTTGTGAGTCCAAAGTATAACTTCTCAGAGCGATGTAAATGAAGCGGCTGCAGATGGCTCTGAGCTGGGCCGGCACCGCAGTGTGAGCACCAGATGGTGGCAGAGCTGATGGATGCACTGTCTGAAGCTGCAGACAAGAAACCTGCTGCTCCCCAACATCCAGACACACACACACACACACACACACACACACACACACACACACACACACACACACACACACACACACACACACACATATGCTGATTAATGCAACATTAGTTGATTTATTAGAGAATAAGTATATTGTAATATTCTCTGTTGAGTTATATCCAGGCTTGGGGAGTAATGGATTACATGTAACAGGAATACAAAATAGGAAACTGTATTCCCTTACAGTTACATATAAAATACATAATCAGATTACTATTACATTTTTTTTTAAATGGGATTACTAGCAGGATTACAATGTTACTAAAAAACATAAAAGAGCATATAGTGTTTGATGTAAAAGGAGCAGATTTTATTCATTCTCTGTAAACTGTACTGTTCTGTAAGCTAATACTTTTAAGTGTGAATTTTATATCAGCAGGTGAACCTATATGTACATAAAATAGTGTATTTGAGCTAAATTAACTGTAGGTATTAAAGCTCAGATTTGATTTCTCCTTTTTTAAACTGTAGTATGCAGTGGCGTAACTATCGACGGTGCAGCCGGTGCAACGGGGCCCAGAGCCGGCCAGGGGCCCATGCAAAAAAAAAGATTCTTTTTGGTGGGCCCCAATGGCATTGACCGGTTCACGCAATAGTATGCAGTAAGTTAGCATTTTACAACTTCCGGTTCCTTCGACAAAAACCAATGCAATTTCTCCATAGGATTTTGGAAAATAGCTCGAAATAAGGTCTGTGGTTGACACAAATTGAAGACAGATCACGTTTTGTTCAGTCGGATAATCTCCACATGTCTACCCTACTTTTATAATTTTCTAATCATAAATCTAATCGATAGATTTATGATCGAAAATGTACCATTTTTAACGATTTACATGTCACAAATTACTCCAAACTACTCGCATATAGTTTTTCCGATATTCATGAAACGCTGGATACACATTTCTATTATGCTTGCACACATAATTCAAATTGCCTTCCATTAACCACGCCCCCCAGGAAGTCGGCCATTTTGAAAAATCTGCATCATATTTAAGCACATTTTTGCAAACTCCTCCTAGGGAAATGATCGGAAAAATTCCAATCCAGGACATGCTAAGCACATATCCAATGTGATGCTACATTGAGAAGGAATACCATTTATATGTCAGATACTTCCTTAAGCTACTGAGACCCGCCTGTCTGCCCGGCGCATTAACTCTCTCACACACACACACACACACACACACACACACACACACACACACACACACACACACACACACACACACTCTACAAAACACACCTACACATTGTACAACAAACACAAACAGCTCCCAAAGCATATCATAAATATCAGGCTACAACCCTTGTATATTTTGTGAAGCACTATATGGTTTCATGAAAAATATCTACTGTTTATTTGTAGATATCTCCTACTAGAGCATACAAATAAAGTGTGTAATGTAGGCCTGTTACATATATCATTGAGCGATATATATTATCGTGCTTTCTGCACTGACCTCAGCAGCTCTTCTCACTGTAAACATCGCGTCACAATGAAAGCAGTTGTATTAAAAAAATAAATAGCCTAACATCCAGGGGAGATGTGATTAGTGAGTAAACAAACGGTAAAGGGCAGAAAGTCTGATGCACATTTGATCATCTTTAATAACTTATAATCACAACGGGAACAGTTATGCAGAGCTGTGCTTCGTTGACATAAGTCCAGCCATGCGTCACGCCTCTTTTAAACATCACTGTTGGCTGAAATCGACTCCGGAGAATACATCAGTGTACCCTCGGTTATAGCTCCTCCAGAGAGACTCCTCTCTCCTCCCTCCTCTAAATCAGTGTATCCTCGGTTACGGCTCCTCCAGACAGCCTCCTCGATAATCGATCCTCGAAGAGCCTTTAGCGAAATTTGTTTTCCTTAGAGACGGCGCGCCAACATCCGTTTCCGGGTCGCTGCCGGAGGACCTGGGTTGCGGTCGAATAGTCCATTTAGCTTAGGAACCTTCCTAACGGAGGGAAATGACCCGGAAGTCCCTCAGTGGCAGCCA